AGATACCCGCATGAATACCGTTCTTTGCCTTGGTAGTTCTTTTTTTGCAGTGTTGATAACTTTATATTAATTTTCCTTCGTATGCCGAAGGTGGAGTCTTACGGGTGGTCATGGATTGGAAACCGCCGGTTGCTTCGGTGGGCGAGGAGCAGTACACCACATTTACGGCAACTGTGTTCGTTGTGTCGCGTTCTTTTACAGCTTATTTCCCCGCAATCAATGAATTTATGCGTCAATTTAATCAACAGGGGTCGGCGTTGTATCGGATGAGAAGTTTGGGGTCTAGGTTGCATTTTGGCTTACGAGCATCTTGTGACCAAGTGTATGCTGTTCCATTTTGGCCCCATCGAACCATTTTTGCGGTAGAGGCGGAGAATGCGTTGATGCTGTATCACCCTTGGTGCAACAGGGAGTTGGAGGGTACTTCTGCCACAGCAGAGGTTCATGTGAGAACACGTGTTCTTTTTTGCAAGGCGGCGTGCTCTTTTGATGGGCCCAAAGGTCGTATGCTGACGGAAGCCTCCCTAATAACACTATTACCAAGAGTTGTGAATTCATCACGCGACGCAAAGCCGCGTGAAGGTCCTGGCAGTAATGCCTTGGCGTTGGAGATAGTGCATGAGGTAACGTATGGTGTGGGGTTGCAGAAGGAAGCGTTGACCATAGTGGTCAAGGGACAAGACGTGGGGGAGGTGCCTCAGATTTACAAAGCCGCAAATGACACGAAACCTACACCCTGTCTAACTGCTATGAAACCGTTTGTAATCTCCCTTGAAGAGGCATATCACTTCAGTGCGATTGTGTGTGCTGTGCTTGCGTCCGCTTCACCGCAACAGTTGTCTGTAGAGGCATACCTTGGTCGAGAACGATCGTTAAAGCTGAGTATCGCGCCATCTGTGGCGTATTCTCCGCGTTCCTTCGATGTGGCATTCGTATCCTGGGAGGGCATAGACTTCACGATGGAAAAAAACGGGAGCTTTGAGGGACATACAGTGGCGCTGTCACTCTTGTGCGATGCCTCGTTGCGATCGACTGAGCATCAAGACATGACAACCCTCTGGGGCAATCTCCTGGCTGTGAAGAAGACTGCTGCTGCTGTAGAGATAGTGGGAAGTTGTGATACGGCAGGAAGTTTAATAACCCTTAAAAAGACAGTTGATGCGGGCACTGCCGCGTTATGCATTGGTGGGGTTTTCTTGCACCTTACCGAGCAGAGGCTACCGTTGCTCTTTAACCAACTTGTGGACGTATACAAATTTCTCTCATCTGGTTTTCTACCTTTGCCCTTATCGCCGCGACAAACTGTTATTGCTGCCCCGGAGAAGACTCATGCATCCATGCTTATTCACGTTGCAAAGGTTCACCTGGGATTTGTGTGGTACAGTCGAATGAACGGCACCTATGGGGAGCTGCAGTTGGCCCTTCGTGCGGTCACGTGGAGAAGCGATGGAGCACTAACTCTGGAGAATGGCGGTCTGCAGCTGAAGTGGTTCGATGCAGCTCCACCTGGCGAGTCTATGAGCCCATGTGAGCTGTTGCTTCGAGAGGCTAGCGATACTGTCCCGCTGATTGAAAACGTTTCGCTGTCAACGCAGGCATCAAGTGTCGAAAGCCTCTGTGTGACGGTTTCACCCATCCACATGAATTTGGCCTTCGACACCTACTTGAACCTTGTTGAGTTAGTAGCTTATCATCTGAGAGTGGAACTCAGGAACCCCGTGAGAGGGGCGTCAGAGGAGCATGCCTCTGTAGCTGCTGCGGGTCATGGTGCGTTGGCCTGGAACAGCTCATTCTCATCCGCGTCGCCTTTGTTTTCGGCTGGGAATGAGGATGCCTTCCCATCCTTCTTTGGCACAGAGTCTGTTCCGCAGGCTGCTTCCACGTCGCCTGCCTGGCAATATTCTCTGAAGTTAGCGGAGCTGTCGCTCACGGTTGCTAAGCAGCGGCACGTGCACGGCGCCGGTGACGTCAACTCTAAGCCGTTCTGCTGGTTACGTTTAACCAATGTCGTCTTTGACCTTTTCCCTAGCATAGCCTCTTTTGCGTTGCGTGAGGTGAGCCTTTCTTGCGTCCGTGGGACGAGTGCCGTGGCGCTTTCTGGTGTGCAGTTTAGCTCATCGCGCACTGCTGCCGCAGCTCCTTCACTGCCCGAGATGGTGTGTATTGTGCAGTCGATGGTCACCAGGCTTTTCACCCCCGATCTGTGGACGTGTTTTGATTGCCTCGTCAGGACTCCTGCAGAGGAGCTTGCGGAGCTTTATTGGGGGATGACGCATCCGAGTGGGAGTGATATTCTCTGCCGCCCCCCCACCGGCAGCGGTGCCAGTGGCAGGAAGGGCAATCACCGCAGGCTGGAGGTTGTCACGGTGGATACGCCTGTCTGGGAACTGAGAAGTGATCTGGTGCTCAGCCGCAACTGTGGATCGGTGCTGCAGTTCGCCAGCGTGAATACCAACAACATCCACGTGGAGATGCGAGGCCACGCGATTACTATAGAGACACCAAGGAACGCTGAGGCCGCGATTGTGGTGGTGGTGGATGCGGGACTTTCCTTAACTTTTTCCGACGGCCGCTTTGTCTTGCCCTCGCTCCCCTCGAGCCACTCCCAGGTGCGTCGTCGGGAGCGTTTAGGTGAGGAGGCGCTGCTGCTGCCGTTTATGGCGTTGGGCGAGTGCAGCTATGTCCGATGTCTTAACGTCAGCTTTGCCGCAACTGAGCGGGAGGAGAGGCATCAACATGCGCCGCCGCTTCCGCCGCCGCGGCGGCAGCAACACGATAGGGCGACTGGGACGGTGCAGTCTCAGCGCTGGAAGGCGCAGGTGGGGATTCAATCCGTCATGCTGCATGTGGCTTCCAAGAAAGGAGGTGGCGTGAAGGCGACGGTCGCTGTGGAAGCGAGGATGTTCCTGCGTGGTTGGACGATCGAGCAGGGCGAGGTTGCCCTTGAGAATCTCAGTGTTATCACCCACCCTACAGCCTCGGCCACCAGCGCCAACTCCACTACCGCAACCACCGGCAGCAGCGGCGGCGGCGGCGGCAATGCGATGGGCGCATGCACGACGGATAATGTCTTGATTGCGCCAGTCTCTCTGCATCTTTGCATCTCGGAAGGGCGTCAATTTGCGTTTGTCATGGGGCGTATTGTTGCGGATGCAATGGTGAGTGATGTGCTGCTGCTGAGCACGATGACGCATGAGCTTGTTCTTTTTGCGCGGCATGCCATCTCGTCCCGGTATTCGCCGATGGAGCAGGCGTACAACTTGGAGATTGAGCGCGTCTTGGGGTGGAAATTGATGGGGCTCCGTGGAGGCAGCCAGGAGGACGGCGGCGCTCGCCACAGGGACGAGTCCCAGAGTGATGAGCCCCCCCACGCGGTGCCTGCGCTTGCCCTGGCCGCGTTTTTTCCCTTCATGGAGCTGACACTGAGCAATGTCAAGTACCCACTGCTACAGCTGGCACTGTCAGACGTGGTGTGGAAGGAGAACGTGTTTCGCACGAATCGAACAACCCTGCTGCAGAGCCAGCATCTGTTTCTGCGGGTGTATGGGAAGGGCCGCTGGGACACGGTCATCCCACCGAGGGCCGTGATATCGCTTGAGGCGGTTCGCTCTTGGTCAAGGCGAACGCGTACGGAGCAGGTCGAGCTTCGGTGTGAGGGCTTCGTGTTGCATGTCTCACACCTGCTGCTATCCAAGCTGCTACACATTCGTCGTGAGTGGTTGGAGCTGTATGCCACCATGCTTGAGCACTCACACCGGGCGGGGGAACCGCCATCGCCGCTAAGCTCCGCTAGCGTGCCTAACCCCGATACCACCGCCACACATCGCTTTATAAACGTGTTTGATGATGTTTTTTACCTCTTCGTAGGAAAAGACCTGGAACATGGGGAGATTGTGCCACTGCCCTCTTGCACCGCGGTGGACCTCACCTTGCCGTTTAATAGGGCCGACGACGTCCGACTTTACCTATACCCTCGGCACTGCGTTGAACTGGACGAGCACGGGCGGCACGTACGGAACAGTGAGGGGCTGCGTAGAGACATGCAATACTGCCACGTTGTGGCAAGCCAGCTGCAGTACGGTCGTGCCTTTGGTCTTGTGATGGATGATTTGCTCGTGGTGATGTCATGTATAGAGACAGACGGGGCGCCGACGGCGGTGACACCGCTCGCGGCCGCCTACGCCGGAGCTTCCCTTTACGGCGACAGCAGTGCGGCGCCTCTGATCGGGACGAGGAGTGCGGCAGCTCCAGGGTCTGGGTTCACAAACGCGTCGTCAATGGCCTCTGTTAGGGGAGCAGATGAGGCGGGTTTGGTCGTTGTCCGCTTTCATTCCCAGCGAACCCTGTGCAACGGCGTTGGGATGGTGATTGAGGTGCGGCAGTACATCCTGGGCGATCCCGAGGAGACGCCGGCGAGTGACGACTTCTGGATCGTGCCCCCAAACGCGGAGTACCCTCTTCTTGGCCTATGCAGCCGGGTGGAGCTTCGCCTCTCGCTGGATGGCTGCGTGTATTGTACCTCGCTCAGCACGCTCTCGCTTGAGAGTGGCGTCGTTTTGACGCTGCAGCCAATCGGAGACGCGGCGACGCCTCAGGCCTGCCACAGTCGCTTGCCAGTTTGCCTCTTCATGGCGCTGCAGCGCTTCGCAGCGAGCGGGTCCGCCGTCATCCACCTCTTGCCCCGCATGACGGTGCTCAACCACATTGGGGTCCCTGTGAAGCTGTCGCTCTGGCAGGAGGAAGAAAGCGCGCCGCGGCGCCGCGACGACGGTGTGGGGAGTATCATTTATTACGATCGTGGCGAACGCGGCAGCAGCTCTGTCGATGCTGCGACTGCTGCTGCAGCTGGTGATCAAGCCTCTTTGCTGTGGCCGCGCTGGGGCGGGCGCGATTCGCGGCGGCGGCGGCGGCTCATACGCGTCGGCGGCCACGGGGCCCTCCCGCACCGAGGGGCTCTTCCCATTTGCCAGTGCTCCTACAGCGGCGGACTCTCGCTGCGGCTGAGCTTCACACAAGCAGGTGGGGAGACGTTGCAGACAGGGGAAACCGTGACGGTGTGCAGCTCGCTTAAGCGGAGAGTGGGGCGAGAGCCATGTCTTGTGCGGCTGCTTGACTCCAGCGGACGCTCCTTCTATGTGCAGGTGGCTGTGCTGCACCGGACGCTCCTGCTGTCGGTGGGGCACTGGGTGATCAACCTCACGGAGTACCCCGTCTTGCTCACCGACAGCGCCGTCTCGCGCCGCCTCACGGCAGGGCAGCTGATGCACACTGGAATTCCGCCATCGCAGGGTCTGCCTTTTCTAGTTGGTTCGCGCCCGGCCGAATTCACGGTGGCTTTCTTAAAGCTTGGCCTGGACGGGGACTGGTCCGGCGCGATTGAGACGCGGGTTGGGTCCCACGGCGTCGCGGAGTCGCCGCGCTGCGTGGTAGGCGGCCTCACGCGAAGCTGCAACTACGTTATTCAGTTCCCACGGGTGCAGGAAGGGCGACCGGTGGTGCTGCTGCTCACCCCCCGCTGGGTGTTTATCAACAACGCAAACCGTCGTCTGAAGGTGCACTTCGCGTTTCCCGCCAAGAGAAGGAGCTACTCGTCTAAGCGGCCGTCTGCTGGTGAGCACACGCCTCCGCCACAAACAGCAACAGCAGCAACGGCAACAACAACGACGGAAGCAGGGACACAGCCCCTGTCCTTTCTGACTCTGCGGCCCGGCGAGCACCACTTTAGCTGCCTTGGCACAGCCACGGGGAACGTGGCATCGTTCCAGGATACGCTGGAGGATGCCGCGCCGTCCATTACCTCCTTCTCCAACGACGCCGTGCGTCACACAAACCTGGCGGAATTCTATGAGGTGCATCGTACGGCCCCCATCTCCGTGGATGGCCCTTGCCACGCGACATTCAACCTGTGGGCCTCCCTGCGGCAACCGGAAGTGGCTCCCAGCGTCGTCTATGGGGCGCGAACGACGGGCGCGGGGTCGTTCCTGCCACCCCCCCAGCTATCCGCGGGTGGCTCCCACTTCGGTGAGGATGTGGCTTTTGTCACGGGACGCATCAGCGTGACGGTGCAGCACATTGACAACGTCTTGGCAGTTGTGATCGACGGCATTCATGCAACCAACATGGTGATTCAGAACCGGGCGCGCGGTGAGACGCTTGCTGTGCGGCAAAAGGGAAGTCAGCGTCGCACCGTCATTCCTCCCTGCCAGAACCGTTTTTTTCTCTGGGAGGACTACAGCACGGATCCGGTGATTTCGCTTCACGTCATTGGCCACAAAGGGGCGTGGTTTGAGGTGGACTTCTCCCGAGGCGACTGTCAGGTCCAGCGACGGCACACGTCCGACGCCACCGCAGAGGTGCTTTCCCCGTTTAGCCTTCGTGCGTGCACCAGCGCAAGCAACGCGCAGCATGTGACAATTTTGTTTACAGACGAAAGTCTCCCCCCACACGCCTTCTTTGATGACGCGTGGCACACGAGCGTGGGTCACACGCTCTCGTTTCCCGCGCTGGAGCTGCTGTGGCTCACCGAGGAGCGGCCTGGCAGGGATAAGCCGCATGTGTCGCTGATGCTGCGGGACCTGCAGGTGCAAACCCTCGCCGCAGGCAACACCCACACCATTTCCGTGATTCTTAGGCGACTGCAGGTTGTGGACGTGCGCGCGCAGGCGGCTGTTGTGCTTCACCGCGCCAGCCCAGCAACTCCGAATGCGGCGGAGGCGATGACGAGTGGGGGGATTTTAAGCTGGTTCTGGCGCGGGGAGGAGGTGCCTCCGCAGGACTTGCAGGCGGTGTATGCCGCCATGATTTCGGCCAGTGGTGTGACGCGCGTCACGGAGTTGTCATTTGTCCTTGCTCCTTTTGCCGTGTATTTGTCAGACCACTTCATCGTGTCGGTCTGGTACGAGTACCGTGGCCTCCTCTCGCTCTTCGCGGACAGTGGCGGCAAGCAGGCGCTGGCCGCGGCGGCGTTGGCGTCGCCATGGGTGTCGCGCCACGAATTTTCTCAGGGTCTGGTGGCGCGGCTGCACGGGCGTGGGAACGGCCCCGGCGGGCCCGCTGCGGGTGCGACGTCCGCCGCTGCCTCCGCCGCAATCACGACTGCGGCGCACTCCAAGCAGCGCGAGACACACGACGGGCCGGCGTTATTGTTCGTTGATCAGGCGCGGTTTTCCAGCCTCACGGTGTTTTTGACCTTCAGCCGCCACAAACCCGATCCGCTCTGGGGACTCCTGGGGATTTATACGCTGATGATCCCCAAGCGGCTGCGGCAGATGGAGGTTTCGTGGAAGGCGCTTGCCGTCGACAATAGTGCCACGACGTGGGGTCTGCTGCTCGCGCAGGCGCAGCACTGGCTGATGGATGGGGCGCTGCGCCAGTGGCCAAAGGTGACGCGCCTGGGGAAAATTGTCGACAAGTTCAAAGGCGGCTCCCACAGACGTGTGACACTCGCCGACACGCCCCCACCGATGCTGTCGGACGTCGACAACTTTCGTGCTACTGATGACGACGAGGAGGACGAGGAGGATTAGGAGCACCGTGCCAACCGGAGGAGGCGATAGTCGGCAGAGCCTGACTTCCGTGCCGACGCACACTGAGGTTCACCCCTCCTGTGCTTTGTAAATTTCTGTGTGTGTGAGTTTTTTTTCGTTTTAATTTGGTTTTCCTCCTTTCTTCCATATCTCTTTCTCTGTGTATGCGGTGCTTGCTTCTTCTTTTGTTTAATCTTCTCCTTGTGCACACACACACACACACATATATATATATATACGCGTCTGTGTGTGAGTGCGGCTTTTCACCTTCTTCCTCTCGTCCACTTGCGGCACGGCATACGCCGTAAACGTTACAGACGCACACGTGTGTAGATACCCAGTCACACACCTGTAAATACTTACAAATATACACACTCACACGTGCGCATAGGAAGGAGCGGGTGGGTCGTTGGTAGGAAGATGGAGCCCCTGGCGCGACACAACTCCCCGGCCATGGACGCCAACGGCTGCCGCAACCCACACGGCAGCAGTCGCGTGAATGCTGCAGGGAACGAGGAAGTGGCGGTGAGGACCAGGCGCGGGGGTCGTCGGGCGCAGCGGCGTGCCACGCAGCAGCAAGTGGCACCCCCCGCCACCGCAACCGCAGCGGCGGGGACGACGTCGAAGGCGATGGGGACAGTCGTGGTGCCAGTGCGCGGGGAGGCGGCGACGTCGTCTGGAAATCAGCGCCCGGTGAAGTGCACGGCCGTGCGGCGACGGGCCAAGCCCGCCAACACCACCGTGACAAGGGTGGCAACGGGTGTCTCCCTAGAGGCCCTCCGGGCGAAGCGGAATGGCACGGCGGCGGATGGCGCCCCCGGCGGGGACGCGCGGACGATTGAAGCAGTAAGTCGTATTCTTCTGATGTACGCGTCGCGGCAAGCACACGGCGGCAAGGCCAACTTTAACCGGCGCCCGGGCTCCTTTCCGAGTGAAGCCGATGCGTGCAAGGTCGGTTTGGAGCGGGGCGGCGATGGCGTGGAGGGGGCGGAGGGGAGCACGCTGGCGACGGCGCCAGGGGCGGCAGAGAAGAACGTTGGGGTTTTCCTGGGGGATCTGCCGCCCTCCGGCGCCGACGTGGCCGGCACCCGCGACATTCACGCCTATGTGATGTCGCTGGTTTCCTCGGGAGACCTGCCACCCGAAAGCCTAGAGGTATTGCATGCCATGCTGTCTCACACCACACGCGGGGGGAGGGTAGACGCCTTTGCCGCGCCAAGGCGAGGCAGACACGGCATTCCCCAACCGGGTTTCCCGCCCACAAGGAAGGATGCACAACAGCCGACGACACATGCGTTCTCTACGAATTTCGACTGCCCCGCACAACAGCAACAACAACATGAATTGATAGAACCGACAGAAGAGGATTTATTTGGCTATGGCAGCTATGCGTCATGCAAGTATCCCGCGTATACGCATGGCATGGACTGCGCCCAGGTCGACGTAGCGCCACTTCATTACCCCGCGGGCCAACCCAGTCTCACAGCCGACGGTGCATACTTGGGCGAAAAGGCAGCGTCGTATCCATTTCTGGGCGAGTACGCTCCGCGTGAGGACCAGGCGCAGCAGCTATCCACGCATGCTGGGGCGCTAGACGGCGTAGCAGGGTACGAGGACTATGCACACTTGTTAGGGACTTCTGGGAGGTGTGAAGTCAACACCAGCAAGCGGGAAGCCACCCGTAAAAGTAACTATGGCAACGACGACGACGATGATGATGATGCGGACTTCAAGGCTATGCTGCAGGATATTCGGGATTTAGCGCAACAGGCATCGTCGCCTCCACGGCTGGGTGACGCCAATTCTGCAGGTGCGACGGCTGCGGCGGGGTCGTGGAATGGGTGCAGCGGCGACTACCCGGACGAAGCCCTGCTTCTCCTCTTCCTTTTCCTCGTTGCCTGCGCCGTGCGTCACGATCAGCCAGACGGAGCGTGATTCATTGCGCTCCTTTCAGCAGGCCTTCCTCGCTCACATGCGGGTGACCGGATCGCCAGAGTGGAAGTCCCCTGCTGTGACGTCGCCGAGAAATCTGCTGTCTGTTTTTGTGCGTGACGGTGACGCGGATCGGTTTGCGGCGGGGCAGCAGCCGCAACAGCAACAGCAACAGCAGGATGACGCCTGCGACGGCGGGTACGCGACGAACCGCACACTCTTTTCGTACCGCACCGCCTGTTTGGAGGAAGACGGGGACGCAATGGCCCCCGACGAGCTGGTGCCCCGCGAGGCCTCTGTAGCAACTACCGCCGCGGCGCGGCAACTACACCCACAGCAGCAGCAGCAACAACAACAGCAACAACAGCCGAGTGACGCTGAGGCTGCGCCGCGGGCGGCGCAGTTGTCGATGCTGGCCTCCGCAATGCCTGGCGACGCGCAGGAGGACGCGCAGGCGACGACGACGACGGTGGCGGTGGCGGACGGTGTTTGGTCCTGGACCTCGTGCGATGGCGGCCGGGGCAGGGCGGGGGCGGCGCCGCGGGGAGCAGTCGCCACCGCAACCGCGTCGACACCGTGCAGACGGTGGTTCTGCGCGGACGAGACTGCGGAGCGCCGCGCCCGCTCCGCCACGCCCCGGCAGCCAACCACGCAGAGGAAGCAGCTGCGACTGAGCGGCGACGGTGCACCGGATTCCCTGGCCGCGTGCGACCCCGCCCTGCCGGCGCTCTCTGCAGTGTCAAGGGCGACCTCCGGCGTCGTCACCACCACCGGCAGGGCGACGGCAACGACGGTGCGGCCAGCAGAGACGGGGAAGCGCGGCGCAACGGTGCTCAACTTGAACGCGGCGCCGTTCATCCCGTCTCGCATGGGGTCGCGTTGAGCGATCGCCGTTCCTCCTCCCCTCGCAGGGGATCGCCGTGCGGGCGTCGCAGCGGCGACCTTAAGGGGACGTGCAGAGCGTCCAACGTAAAGGGGGAAAAAGGAACGGCGGCGGCACGAGAGGCGCGAGCCCACAAGCGCGCAGATAAACTTGTTTGCAAGGGCGGACGGCGAAGAAGGGGGAGAGTGCGGGGAAGGCCATGAATGACCGCCACTCGCTGGCTTCAGCAGCGGCGGCGGGGGGGCGGGGGGCGACGCCCCTTTATTTTCCCTCTCACCCGCGCCGGCAAACACGTTGGTCCGCAGCCCACGCATACAAACATAAACAAAAAAAGAAGAAGAAACGTTCATATACGCATACATATATAAATAGATGTGTAGAAGCGCGGGACGGCTTGAAACGAATCACACGGAAAAAGGACAGACTAATACAGCTTAAAAAAAAACAAGACTATCCCCTCTCCTACACGCTTCCCGCTCTGCACACACACTCACACACGCATTTTATTTCCTTCGCATTGTTTTTTTATTTTTCTTCTTTTTTTTGTGTTTTTGTTTTTCTCCCTCTCCCACAAACTCTCTATCTCTTTCCCGTTCACCTGGCGCTTGGGGCTGATGAGAACTAATGCTAGTAACGAGGCTGCCCGTGTGTTGAAGGATCCCCCCGCCACGGGGCGGGTGTTGTGTGACGGCCCCACGGAAGGCCGATCGCGTGCGTGTTTGTGTGTGAGGGGTGTGTGTGAAGGAGAGGGAGGGAGGGAAAGTGGCAGTGCGAGGAGGATGATGTGTGTGTGTGTGTTGTGTGTGCTGCAGGTGTCTTTTTTTTCTTTTCTTTTTTTCTTTTCCCCCTCCTTTTTTTTAGATGTGTTTTTGCTTCACGTGCGTCGTCTCCGCCTTCTGTACAGGGTTTACTTTTTTTCGCTTCCTCCGCCGGGTTGGCGACGAAAACGTGGCAGGCGGAGAGGG